AAAGTCCAAACACAGCAGCTTAAACTGACCTCAACAAAGACTATTTTTACCTAATTGAATGACAACCAAGGGGGGGCATACATACATACTGGCTGACCAAACCATTTAAACATACACACGATAGATGAAACAAAACTAAATTAACTCTATCCAGGGAGGTTGTAACTCGATATCAACTATGCTGAAAGTCTAAACTAAACTTGCAAAATTACCTGAAAAATACGCAAACAAAAACACTCTCTTCCCAAGCAGGTGACAGGTGTATGATGGAATTACTGATGGCTGAATTCCATTTAGCTGCTTCAGTTTCATGGTCCTAGTATTGTGCATGTCAGGCTTTTACATGGTGGAAGCCAGATGTTCCAGAACACACCAGCAGCACAGTTACGCAAAGGAAAGAAAGTTTTCTGTTTTTGATCTGTAAACTGAATTCAACAATCAAACAGTGATGAAACACATCAATGCTGTTGTTAAAAATGGCATTATTACCAAAATGATGAGAGTCTGCGCTTATTATTTCACTGTATACTGATAGAGACACATCATTCACAGGCGTTTATGTCATTTTTTGCAAACCCTATACTTAGTACTTTTCTATTTTGGTGCAGTGGTTCGGAGTTGTGCTTTAGACGGCTGTAGAAGCACCAACAGACTGCAGTGTTTACCTTGATCCCACACACCCAACAGTCTCCCCACAGACACAAACACATGCCAGACAGTTAGCCTCTCTGAGCCGCTAGCTTAGCTACAACACAAACAGGCACCACACACACTTTTACAAATGGTTGTCAATGTGCTTCGAGTGACTGTGGAGCTGCTCATTAGCTCTGATTACCAGCAGCTGTTTCTGCTACACCGCTGTGGTCAGTCTGTCAATCAGTCACTGGTTGGTTTCGAGGCCACGCTGCCTAAAGCTAGTAGAACTGAAAGGTGTAGTCACATTTTAAACATGCATGCTACATCTATAAATGCGGTCAAAAAATGATGTTATTGTTGTTGTTGTTCAGTTATGAAAATGGTATGTAACAGAATGTAAACTTGAGTGAGAAGGTCAAACTAAAAGTGAAAGTGAGGGGAAAAGACAGCATTGCCGTGGGTGGGGTGCAGGATGTTTTATTAAGATAGTGACCTTTTTCAGAGAGGACATTTAAATTTGTTAAAGCAGAAAAAGAAAAAGTGAAACTAATATCTTTAATGTTGTTCTCTGTTCCATTTATGTGTCCGGATGCACAAAACCTGGACCCTCAAACTGATATGCATAGGGGGAATGCAGCCATTATTAATGTTATTATTAATGTTATTTACTGCTATGACAGTCAAATGTAAATATTAATGAAGAATTAATTTAATTTAGCTGTTTTAGTTTTAGGGTCCTAGTAGTGTGCTGTTGGGTCACTGTCTTGTTATACTGGGACACTTTAATAGACCAGAGCCATTGTTACTGTTATTGATGTTAACAGCTGTGCTTTTCCTATATGCCAAATTTGCTAGAATAGCCCTGTTATGAGACAGTATGATATCATGAGCCTAAATACAATATAAATAGCATTCATGTTTAGTGTGTTGTACTTTACCTCTAACTAATGCAAGACTAGCCTGAAGCCATGTCAAACTGTGTTCTGAGATCTCGGCTGTCATACACTGACATCTACTGGGTGTAATGTTTTATTGCCACTAACGCCATTATAATTTCCTGAGTAAGGGATTTCTTTAGGTGCAGTTTTCTTACTGGCCTCAGATGTACGGCCATGCATGTGTCAACTCCACTCTTGCAGAATAGATTTATCTCCGGTCCTCAGATAGCAAGTGTGAAATACTGCGTTAATTGCAGTGGTGGAGGAAGTATTCAGATTCTTTACTACTTACTAATACCACACTGTAAAATTACTGTTACAAGTAAAAGTGCTGTATTGAAAATGTTACTTCAAGTATCAAAACTATATTATAAAATATATATTATATATATATAAATTATATATTATGTAACTACAATATTATTTCTCATGCACTAATGTAAAAGCAGTATTTAACTGTTTTAGTTGGTTGAGGTGGGGGTAATTTTTAACTATTTTGTGTTGGACTTCATTTAATGATTATTGTCTCCATTAACTGATTGATTGTTTGATTTATAAAACTTAAAAAATAGAGATAAATGTCATCATAATTACCCAGAGGCACCTTCACAATACTTGTTTTGTCAAACCAACAGTCCAAACATCAAAACTATTAAAAAATATGGGCACCCTGGTAGCTCACCTGGTAGAGCTGACACCCCATGTGCCAAGGCTGTAACTAAAGCCGTCTCATAGTTAGAACAATTACAATTAGAAACTGTAAGAAAAGTTGAGCTGTAGCTGAGTAAAAATATTTAGTTACATTCCACCACTGATTAATTGTATTGTGTTATATCATTTGTCATATAAATCTCCAGAATGTGCTAATGTCTTCACTTTCAATGATCTCCTGCAACAACTGGATAGATTCTGAGTTCCCTCTGAGTCACAGTCTCATGCTTCCTCTGTTTGTTTTGCCTGCTGGCTCTGTCAACCTTTCACTTAGTAGTAATTAGCCAATTCTAATGAAATATACCATTGTTTCTCCCGGAGCTCAGGTCAGTGAACCAAAGAAAACAAATGGATTTAATGTGTGTATGTGGGTGTGTGTGTGTGTGTGTGTGTGTGTGTGTGTGTGTGTGTGTGTGTGTGTGTGTGTGTGTGTGTGTAGATGAGTAATCTGAACTTTTGGCTACCTGTCAGTTGCGGCTGTGGGAGAAGTGTCTGGCTGTTTGTGAAAAGTGTGCATTCTCTGAAAGCTGCTTACACAACTCAGAGCTTTTTTTAACATCTGCGAATCAGACGTAATTCTCTGGAAATGAACATTGTTGGAGTAACAACCAACACACAGAGGAAATTAGCAACATCATTTCCAACTGTGCCTGCTTGTCTGAGTTAATAAGAAGCAACACGTTCATCATTTTTGACTTATATCTTACCGCACAGCAATATGTAATGCTGATTAATCAAGAGCTCTCGTATCAAATGTTTGTTTAGAGGCTGGCCCTACATCTGGGCTATTATCCTTTCAGTGAACTGTACTAGTGGCTTTCTGTGCTGGAATTTCCTCAAAAACTGTTCCAAGCCCGAGGAGATATTAAACTGTGTGGGAACAGCGCTGCAAGTTTGCCCTGCTCATCCTTCTGAATGGGGAATTTTCCATAATGAAAGTCTGGAATCCCCGCTCTGGCATGTGACTGAAATAGAAATCCCTTCAGTTTATAAAACCTGACAAATGAGTACAAGGCTTCAAACAAGTTTACACAGGTCTGAGTGAGCTCATCAAAGTGTGTGTGGTGAATACATTGTCCCCCCGTGATGCTCACTCACTCTTATTGCTGTGAGTCAGTGAGCCTTTCCTCGTCTTGAAGTGTTGTTAACCGTTAAAACCCCAGGGGACATCACTATCTCGTGGCCTGATGTAAAATAAGGAAGTTTCGTAAGCTTTCGTCTCAGTCTTAATGAGCGGTTGCCTGTGGGACGAGATTTTCTATTAGGGCCAACCCACAAGAGCACCGCCTAGACCCTCTCACAAATCCTCGTCTTCCTCTCTCGCAGCATGAGGTTGACATTTGTGACTTTTGCTGAAATGTCTTAACAACTATTGGACATATCATTGCTCAGACATTCGTGTATGTAAAAAAATATTGCAAAAATCTAAAGTTTCTTGTCCTACAGTGATCTTGAACAATTAATTCACAGCTTCATTTTCTCCCGTCTAGATTACTGTAACAGTCAAGCTTCGTTAAATTGTTTACAGTTTGTCCAAAATGCAGCCGCCAGACTTTTAACCAGAAACAGCCGTCGGTCCCACATTTTCTGATCTTACTGATCACATATAAAGCACTTCATGACCTTGCCCCCCAGTTACATTTCAGATCTTCTTGTTCCTCATTCCACTTCTCGGCCACTCCGCTCCTCAAATTTCATCCTTTTATCCATTCCCCGCTCCAACTGCAAAACTAAAGGTGACCGTGCCTTTGCTGTTTTAGCCCCAACATTTTGGAATAGTCTTCCCCAATCACTCAGATTCACTGAATCTGTGGACTGTTTTAAGCGGCTCCTCAAAACCCTCCTCCACAGACAAGCCTTTATATAGAGCCGCTTGTTTGTTTTCTCCTCCGTCGTCTCTCTTTTAATTTATCCTTCCCTCTTGTTTTATCTTCCTCATGTTTGTATTTACATGCTCCCTATGTATGTTTGATTGGGTATGGTTATGCATGTACATATTTATATGTAATACCCATGTGTATGTTTGTTGTTTGTAAAGCACCTCTGTGTTAAAAAGGTGCTATATAAATAAAGCTATACTTACGTACTTACTTACATTATTCGTTAAACCACAAACACAGATATCTTATTTATTCCATGCATGCGTCATTCTTGTTCAAAACCCACAATGCAAATCGACCGCAGACAGTTCTGTCAGAGATCCGTGTGCGTTGTGCTAGCAGTGGTTAATGTAGTCTTGAGCTGCTGGCCTCAAGCTGAGAGGAAGTGCAGTGTACAGAGGTCTGGTAAGCTTTCTAACTCCACATCCTCCAGATTTTTTTAATTTTCAAACTTGTAGTCTTCAGACCCGTCTATTACGATCAGCCCATACAAAACGTTCATGGGGCAGGGGCCTTGAACAGGGTGTTTTGTATGCAAGCGCACTGGCTTTTTCATAGGGTGGGGATTATGAAACTGCTGACTGGGTAACACCTCTGATACACAAAAGGAGAGAACATATACCTCAAAGCCTGTTGCAAACCTTATCAAGGAAACACAAAAGCCTTTTATAATTATTTTCCACATATACATTAGTAGACTTTGATGTGTAAAAAAATATAAACCTTTAACTTTCCATCCAGTGTTTTCAGATCTGAATGTTAATTTGACCAAAAATGTGGTTTATGACTAAACAAACGACATTCCCATCAGCCTCAGCTGTGCCAATTAGTAAATGTCAACTTGCTAACATAAGCTGAACTATGATGGTGAACATGGCAGGTATTAAACCAACTTGTTAAACATCATCGTGAAAGCATGCAGCAAGTTAGCACGGGCCCAAAGCAGCTGTACAGCCTCACAGAGTGACTGGCATGGCTGTACTCAAGTTTCGGGTTATTTCACTTCAAATTGGATTGTATTGACATTCTACATGTTACAGGTTAGACCTTATATAATTCAAATTGACTCCTTTTAGACCTAATTAAACCATCATATTTATAGCAGTAAAACATGCCCTGTAAACAGGCTTTTGGTAAGTAAAATACAATTGAGTAATAATAATTAAATCATTTTAAAGATCTGATCTGATTCATCTGGGGGAAAGGCGGTTGGTTAGGTGGAAGAAAAATAAAAACAAGGGCACAAAATAAGCCCTCATTTGTAACAAAGACCAATATAAATCTGTGAAACCCTCATACTAATCATAACGAGCATAACAACCAAATGGAAATCCCTGAACCCTCCTTCAGGCCACACACTGTTTGAAGAATCAGGAAATTGCCTGCCACTCATAATGATGTCACTGCGCATAATAAAGTAGTCTGCAGCTCACACACAGCCCGGAGAGAGAGGCAGGCAGTCAGCAGTGCGAGTGCAGCAGCCAGTGGGATGAACTGAGTTTACACGAAAGGGGGGAAAATCTAATAAGTGACCGAGACAACCTATTGGGATTTGCCTAAGGATCTGTCGGTTGGAAGCGTCTCCACCAGCCTCCGCAGATAACTGGAGCGAAAGACAAGAAAGGAGACATCGCACATCGGCCGAGTTGGTAAGCTCCACCGCAGCCGTGTTTCAGTATTTGGGGTGAAAAGAATGAAACATTCAAGTTTTGTTTTTTTCGGTGTTTCTGTCGTTTCCAAACACCATGTGCTCGGATCCGGTGCCTTCAAGTTCTTCTTTTTCTTCTTCTTGTTTTAAAGCGCTCGCATTTTTTTTTAAGTCGAATTTGTCAACACGGTTAAAAATGCAGAAGTTGGCTGAGTTTAAAAAAAAATAAATAAAAAAGAAAAAGACTAACTGTGGTTGTTGGAGTGGCTGGTTGTTTTGGAGGAGGGCCAGATGAAGATTGGAGAAAGTCGCACGCATCACTTACACACAGTTTTCTACTCCTCGCAAACTAAAAGCAATTCTGGCATCTTGATTTAAAAAGAAAAATAAAAGTCAAGTAAGGTTCGTTTTGGGTTTCTAATCATTCAAAAGCTGTATTTCCAACTGCCTGTAAATGCACCGATTGCTCGGTCCTTCCTGTTAACTGTAGCTTCCTAGTAGATAAGATTTCTCAATACACATGTCCTTTCTACTTCATTCACCACAAAGTCCTGTACTGACAGGCACTGTGTACTGACATATTGTGATATATGGGTTTTAAAACTGTCCAAAATGTATTTGTGCATGTACAAATATCTCCAAAAATCACCACTCATCAATGTATAATGACATAATACCCTGCTCGCCATTCATCTTTCTAACTGATTGTTCTTTTTTCTTTTACAGCCACTTGTCCTTTTTATACCACAGGAGCCATGGTGGCAGCAGTCCTGAAGATATACTTTATTGGCACGGCGCTGAGTGTCCTTGCTGTCCTCTTTGGATTAGCGGACTCCTTTGGTGGTCTGATGTACGTCCAGGAGGACATTCACTACATTTTGGAGCTGGACCACCGGACAGAGACAAAGGGGGGAGTCTCCTCAGGCGACCACCAGAGATCATCTGTGACTAAAAACATCGGCTCATGAGATGGGGGGGGGAACTCATGTGGAAAGTGGGTCCCATTTTTCTAAGCGTGGCTGCTGGATGGACACGCTGGACATTGTGTGGCTAATGGACTGACGGACAGTGAACCTGAATGATTGTGCTGTTTCTACTGCCGAGTATCAACATCATGGTGATGGCTAACTTGCTGGACGTGTTCTTCTCCTTTTTTTTTTTTTTTATGTCTCGCCCTAGACTAGTTTGTTGATATGGATGCATAATCCCTGCAGCACGTCTCTGTTTTGCTCTTCTGTGTACCATCTGCTGTTAAACACTGTAGCAGCTAGCTTGTGTTAAAGGCAACTACAAATCTGACGTGTAACTGTAACCGCACTACTGAACACTGATTTGCACTAAAACTTAGGAATGTTTTGGCTTTTGTCAGGAAAAATGTGGATTTTGAGGTTGTTGTGTTTTTTTAATAAAATGAATTACGTGTTGCAATGAGTATACTGCAGCATTTTCTAAGAAACAGAAGTCATACTGTGGGCTGACTGCTGATGGAACCCAGGTTGACTCACAATATCTAATGTTGAAATGTATGGAAAAACCCTGAAACCATTTCAGCAACTACTTAGGAACTTAAAGGCTGATACAATAGAGCTTAGCATTATTGCCACTATCCCCATACAGTGGATGAAAACAAATATATTTTGCAATATGTTAACCCCCCCTGTCAACCCTTTGATTTCCCTTGAATTCACCCTGAAGGTATGTTCAATTTAAGACAAACAAATGCTCAGATAAAACAAGTAAGAACTTGGTAAAGATAATCTTTTCATACCCTACGTACACTACTGAAGTGTGAAAAACACACAGTAGCCTAGTCATGTTGGGTCAAGTTTTATTTGTATTGATTAAACCGATATCACATGCAATGTTTTCTGCGAAGGTATTCGCAAGACTACGCAAGTAATGGGTCTCAACACAGCCCGCGCTCTCTCGTTGACAAGAAACCACAACATGGCTGGTTGCGCAATGGGAGCCCTTTAGATACAGTCTGGACTTGATTACTTGTGAACAATGAATATGATCATAGCTAATGATCACCGGGTGGGGTGTCTTTTATAGATGTTTCACAAATTTAAGCTGAACTATCTGAATCATCACTGACACAGACTTAACTCCGTGGGTTGTGGTGGTGCGGTTCCCCCCACTGGGAACGCAGCCTTGATACACAATATGACATTTCCTGTTAAAAGCTTGTTAAACTAGAAACAAGCCCGATGTGTACTGAACTGAACTGTAACCTGACCTGGTTCCTTACAGTTGTGTGTGTGCCAAATCTTTGGACGATGAAGCAATCACTGAAGACACTACATTGTAGCTGTGAATCTTTCGGCTGCACAGATCAAATCAGCAAATGATTTGTAATTGTCCCGTCTGTCGTCGCACGGCCTGGAACATGACACAAATGAATGCTGATGTTGCTTCATGTCTCCTTTAACTAAGCAACGTGTAAATTTGTCAGTGCCTTTTATAGAAAGTCTGTCTGCTTGGTTTGACCGTTTGTTGCTCTGTTGTCTGTCTCCAAGGCTGCAGGGCAGTAGTCAAGGGACACACCTGGGCTCTGTGTGCCTGATGCATAACACCCTGAGCAGCAGCCAGTCTGTTACCGACGTCCTCTGCCCACACACCTCGCATTGTGCTTTTTGTTCCATTTCCTTTGTTTTTACGACACAAGAGCAGTACATTTCCACTCATCTGTTCCATACGACTGACTTTACATTTAAATTTGTTCTAAAGAAATAACTAATGGGACCCATTTTGGTCCCAGTCTAATAGATCAGAGCATCAGCCTTTTCCAATTTAAAGCCCCCTATTGGCAGGATGACAGTGTTGCTTGTGCCTTTCATATCTGTAGATCCAGTATGACCCACACAAGGATTTTCCTTACCTATTTTTGGAAAGCCACATTTTGAATAACTAAAACTGAACTAAAAACTAGGTGTGAAAAAACATTTTAGTTAACCGAAATAGAAATAACAACTTCAAAATAAAATAGAAATGTACAGGAAATGGCATTTTAGCCTTTGTGACTTTGCCAATTACACAACAAGCATAAGGAGGCATTGGTGCATATATTTATTCCAGAGTCTGGGATGTTATCAGTGGGAGTCTATCGTGTTTGTATTGTAATATATAATGTGAACTTCGTAAATCTTGCCCTTGACCAATTATTATTTTTATTATTATAATAAAAAACTGAAACTAATATTAAAACTAACACAAACTAAACTAAAAAGGAACATTTTAAACAACAAGAAATGTGAAAACCCACTGCACAGAAACTAAACTGAATTAAAATGAAAATAAAAACTACTGAAAAACAAAACTACCATCACGATCAGAGGTTACAGTGGTGGTGATATCTGCACGTAGGCACAACCACACAGTATAGTCATCTAATCTGAGGTGAGTCACAAGGCCATTTTGTTTGGACATAATGTATTCACTCACAAAGTAGCCTTTTGGTCCACTTCTCGTTTCCTTTCTTCTAACCAGCATGTAACCCATATAACAAAAAGACTATAATTATGTACTTTTGTCTTTAATTTTTTTTTAAATTACACATCTGGATGAGATTAAAATAGACAAAATGTAATGTATTAACATGAGCTGGAGGACAAAGCAACTTTATTCCAGTTTAAAGGATCAGACATATAACTTTTGCTTGCTGTGTTGTCCTCTTCAACCTCCTCCTGCTTTCATGAAGACTTTGAATAGGTTAATATCTCTTACACTACCTTGTACTGTATTGTGGCTCACATGTCCGAACAACTGTTGAAGTACAAAGAAATAATCAAGACATCATCAGAAAGTTAGGTGGAATTCCAGATCAGCCCGCGGCAACACAGCTCTGCTTCATCCCTGTCACAGCTCATAGCTCTGTCTTATGCGTCCTGGGATGTGTTTGTGAGCTCCAAACACACGTAGCTACTTGTTTGTTTTACTTTCAGACACTGATCTGAAAGATATTACAACTGCACTGAAGGAATAGCCATCATTTTGTCGTGCGTAAAAGCGCAAATCCATGAGGCGCTTTGGCACCTGAGAGTGAGACCTTGCGTTCAGTTGTGCACACTACAAATAAAAAAAGGGTGTAAAACCTTTCTGTTACGCTGCATTCACGCCCCCTCCACTCCACTCCAACTCGCAAGAACTTCTCTATTCCGGCTGTTACGCATTTTTTCTCTGTCTCTCCAAAATTCCAATATTTTTGAAAATAACTCTTGTATTGGTTGCAACTGGCCACAAGGTGCGTTTCCATCAAATACACTTGAAATGTAAATCCTCCCAGCAGCTCAGGTCACCTGGATGCGGGTACAAACACCTGCTGGCGGAGGACGCACCACTTCACACAGCACTTTTTATGTTAATGACCCGTCCAAGCACGTCCCACCCCCACTTGCCTTTACAGCGCAACACTAATAATCGAGTCAGTAGAGGCAGTCATCTCGGTCACTGGCACTTTATAGTGAGGTCCCCTTTATTTTCGCATCGGATATGATCTGGAGACTTGTGGTCCTAAGTGGGCTCTGCGTCCTTCTCCTGGGTGCTGAAGGCAGCAGCCGCGGGGGGAGGACGGTGACTTTCCATCGGACTCAGCAGGATGAGAGCCAGGGCCAAGCGCGCGCACGCCCCAGGAGGGACATCAGCGGCTCCTCCGGCACCCCCAGGCCCTCTCACGGTCCTCCCTTCACCTCCTGCAAGACCCCCCTCACCCCCGCCGAGCACACGGTTCTGGATGACAATACACATGAGGTGAGGTGTGTTTGAGTTAAGTGACGTTGTTCTGGAGCTGGGAAGGGTTTGTTGAATAGGCAGGTGCAATGTCCATCATATGAGTCATATGAGCTTTACATTCTTGCAGTTATGAGTTTTACTAAACATGAAAAATTAATTTGAAACACAGATAAACTTGTTTCTAAGACAGGACATAATATCTATTTTTTGGCTTTTTTTTTTTTTTTTTTTTTTTTTAACGTTTCAGCATATCTATCTTTCCACACAGTTAACAAGTAAAACTGTAATAGAAACGAGTGGAATTGTGACACCAGAAAGTTTTAAGCATGAATATGATTCTAAAGGATGTTTGTGCATCTTATCTAATTACATCTGTGGAACTCAACCTTTAAACATCATATCTATCCGACCATTAACCCCATTTTGCAAGCCGTGTTATTTGACCATTGCAGGAAATAGAAATGTCTTGAATAAATGCAGTTTATCTAGTTAGTTTAATGTATTTCTTTTTACTTTAAAGGCTACTGTCATAATGTGTGAGTATATGTTCTCTCTTTCTCCTAGACAGGGTTCAACGGTGACGATGGCTCCCATGTGATTCTCACATGGGTGGGCGATGGCACAGGAGTGAGTACCTCAGTATTACAACAGTACCACAACTGTTTTAATTGAAATATATCATTTTCAAACAATCTGCCTTAAGCCTCCTCACATTTAAAACATAGAAAAATGTTACTAACTAATACAGACCCTCATCACTGGGGTTTAAATGTGTCAAAGTTTCAACATTGCTGCATTCCTAGGTCGTCCTGGTGCTGTCGACATTTAGTGCCCCAATAGATTCTTTCTTTGAAGGAGGCTCCTCACGACTTTATCGAAGGTGAGTTAATATCTGATATGTAACAAGAACTTGCAGAGCAGCACATCCATCCCACCCAACATACAGTAAAAGCTCTCCTCTCTCATCAGTACGGATTATGGTAAATCCTTCCATGACATTTCCCATCGGATCAACAACACCTTCATAAGGGAGGAGTTTGGAGTCAGTGTTGGACCAGGGAGCTCTGTAAGTTAACAGTCGGGGCGCCTACTGCGTGAAGTTCGTGAGTAGTTTAAGTTTCGGTTGGGGAATGTTCCTTCCGCTGGGAGGAGTGTGTGATGTTGCCTCACAAAAGTGTGAAGACATCTGACACTCTGCTGTCTAATCAACTCGTGCCACATCTTTACTTGTCCTCACAGACTTGTGGCTGACATGTTCACCCACAGAAATGCATTGTAGACATTTTGACACCAGCAACAGATCAGATCTAACCAGAGGTTCACTTTTGTACACATTATCAGCTCTTTTTACTCATGTTTGTCAACTTGTTATACATAATTTTCAATGAAATTAGGAATATATGTGAATGGGGCAGATTTGACATACAGTTTTTTGGGTTGGGAATTCTGCAGAGATCCAGAAAAAAAAAAATCAATTTGCCATTTGAAAAAAAGGACTAAAACGTGCCGTTGAATGTGATTGTGATATATTTTCTTCTTGGTAACTTCTGCTTAATAATAATCTATCTTTAACTTTTAATCTGTGGTCGCCTTATAATCAATTTTAAATGACAGGTGATATTGACAGCAGACATACCGGTGGTGGAACACCGAGGTGGGGTCATCTTCACCTCCACGGATGCCGGTGCAACATTCAAGTTCATCCAACTGCCCTTCCACTTGGCTCAGCCAATCACATACCACTTCCTCAACCCTGACTACCTCGTGGCCCTCAGCATTGAAGTGAGTCGCACGGCTGTCCACTTTCTTTCTGCCCTTTAAATGCTGTTTCTCTTTCTTTTTTAGTTTTTATCTCAAGGTCACAGTGGTCTCCCTTGCTGTGTGTAATATCCTTGGCTAAAACATGTGTGGCATTATGTCCACGCAAACACAGATCAAGCACACACCTTAAAGTAAAGGTAAACATTCCTCTATTTCTTCCTGACTTGCAGGGCAGTCTATGGCTCTCTCTGGACTTTGGCGCCAAGTGGACAAAAGTTCATGATGGAGTGCATTCTTTCTCATGGTGAGGATAAACAGGAAACAAAACCTCACACTGTATCCCAGTGTGCCTAAAAGAAAGCACATTAGATTAATTATACTTTGTAAAGTAGGAATATTGACGAATATGCTAAAACATCATGACGCAATCTTACAATTTTACTTGAATATTTTGCAAATTGCTTTTAATGTGCAGTATGTTTTGTTCTGGGGAAGAAGGGTATTCTGTAATGACAGTAGCTATGGAAACTGTTGTGACATTTTTGGTGTTTGTGACACATTTTTAACTTCCTCTTTCCATCAGGGGGGCTGGCAATAATATGTTCTTCAGCTGCAGTCAAGTAGACACAGGTAAGAGGCTGTAAGAAATGCACTTTCATTTTGCCAGAGAGCAAAAAAAAAGATGTGACTTGACCTAAATGACTCACAATACAAACCACAATCCCCTGGCAGACTGTAATACAAATGTTTGTCTGTAATATTGTGTTGTTGTCTGGTTTGTTGTTTTAGTTTTAGTTTTAGTTTTAGTTTTGTATTTTAAAAAGGTTTTTGACTCAAAAACTCAAAGTAAAGGGCAATCACATCTACTCTCATCATGAGAGGAAATCCTTTTCTGCACTCAGGAAGCTCAAATTCTAAACATATAATAAAACAATAGATGACTTTACTGTACTGTACACACAATATAAAATCTAATAAAAGCTTGGTTTATCAAAATAGGCTCAAAGGAAGACAAACTTGTTGGCCGCAGAAGGCTTTATAATCTTTATTGCATATGACACTATCTATTCTTAGACCCTCTGTCCAGATAAGGATAAGCCTCCTCCACAAAAAAAGTACGAAGGTACTTCCCATTGCTCAGCCTGTGAAAATGATAGGGGAAACTGAAAGTGATGTTGTCTCCGAAGTCCCTTGCCAGATCTTTGTTTTTGGAAATGCTCTTATCACACCAAGCTCGTTAACAATGGATCCGTGTGATGAGTCATTCTTGTCGTCATAGTTGAGGCTGATGAGAGGGGGGATTTAGTGCTGAAGAGGACGAAGGACCTGGGGAAGACCTTCACCACCATCCACGAGGACATCTACAGCTTTGGCTACATAGGAGCCTTTCTCTTCTTTTCTGTGATGGAAGATCCGGTAAGATGTATGAATAGTGTAGGTAACACAACAGATTCGTAATAATAGTCAAATCACATAAAAGACCGCTGAGTGTTAACAAAACTATGCCTTGTTATTTTGCTCCCAGAGATCCCCTCGTGTCATGTATTTCTCATCAGACCAAGGAAACACCTTCAGTCGAGCCCTGCTCCCTTCTGCCTCCACTGAGCAGGTGAGAAACATTAAAATACTGTCAGAGAGATGTTCAATGAAAAGGAGATCTTGTTTATTATAGCTTTGTCATTTTGTCTATCATTTCTATTGGTTGTGGTCACAAAAATGAGACACCAGTCTCCAACTCGGAGCTTGGTTAGCTTTCTTAACTTGGATTTAAGTTCAAATTCCTTTATATCAGGCACATGGATGAATCTGTTAACAGTCAGTTTAGTCAGTCAACTCTTCACTTTTGGTATTGATGAGTAACAAAAACATAGTCAGAAAGTTACTGACTGATTTTCAGTCACTATTTTATTGGCACATATGGAAATAATTATCTCACTTCTTACATGTTTCTCTCACACTTTGAGTCAGACTTGGAGTTGGGAAAGTTTTCAACTCTCCTGTCCACTTCAGTTACAACACCCCCCCCCCCACAAACACACACACAAATGCTTTTTCTGGTAGGACATTACCACGTGTACCATATGGAAGTTGGTTTGCCTCAGACATCGATGGCATCATTTTCCTTTTTCATCATGTTCTTTCTGGTGAAACATCCACACACACTTCAACCCACAATATGTTGTTTACAGCACAAACACACATTCTCTCTCACGGCGATTAGACAAGGTTTATGGCACAGATTAAATTTGTCATCACAAAGGTTTTTTTTATTGCAATTTCAGATTTTCTTACCCACATGTCTTCCCTTTCTCTCTCTCTCTCTCTCTCTCTCTCTCTCTCTCTCTCTCCCTCGATACGTGTGTGTGTGTTTTGTTTTTTTACAGTTCTACTCCATCCTGGATGGGGATGAAGATATGCTCTTCATGCATGTGGACAACCCAGGAGGTAACAGACAAAAAAACACACACAGGCACGATTCTCACACACCTACTGTAAAGAAAGCTACCTTAAAAACATGCATGACACATTATTGGCAAATGTTGTGAGAACAACGTGGCAGAATTTAAAGCTCTCTCAGCCCCTTTTGTTGTAATGGAAAAGCTCAACGGTAAAGGCCAGACTGGTTTCTCAAGTTCTTGGTGCTGCTGACAAATCATTCCATCATACAGAGTGTGTGTTTGTGCATGCAAGTCCAGCTGCCCAGTCTTTGTCCTTTTCTTTCTCTCGCTTTCTCCCTCCCCCCCAGCTAATGGTTTCCTTCTCATTCAGCCTCTCTCTCATTTACGTCGATTTTGGTTTTGCGTTATTATTATGCTTCTTTCCCTGGCAAGTGCTCCAGTTAGGGCTGCATGGCTTAGCTGATGGGACTTTTGTACTGCTGAGATAAATAGGGGAGATATGGGGGAGAGGGGCTTTATCTTTTGTTGGCTGGAGGGAAGGAGATTTAGTTTACACTGCAAAAGCTGACAAACATATCTTGGGATCAGGGTGTAACACAAGCACACACACACACACACACACACACACACACACACACACACACCCAGAGACGCTGGAAATGTAAACCACGTCCATCACCCTCCCTCAGCTGAGCTTGTCCTTCATGGCTTTAGCTGACACATGTGTGAGCTTCACACAGCTAGAATATGATTGATGATGACTGGTTATTATTGTGCGGCTGAAGGTGATACACGTTACTACTCATCATTTTACTACTTGTGCCAGTGGCTTGGTTTGTTTTTGGTAAGAAAACTATGCGGATGGTGACTAAAACATTTGCATTTACTTTTATTGTGGCACCGGCAGATGAGGAAAAAAAAGACAAAAAAGACAAATCAGTTTTAGTAGAAAGTGAATCACAAGAAACAACATCCTCTTTTAACCAGGAAGTACTGTGGTTTGCAACGAAGACGAATAAGACACCACCAATGATCATACTGACGACTTGATCCTGAAATAGGCTGCAAGAACTCCCTTACATTCATTTTCAACAATGTATTTCCATTACTGTAAAAGGCAACTTTGATCTCAGGCATTAGAAGAGTAAATATGTGTCTTACTGCAGTGAGACACTAAAAATTCTCTTTTTTTCTTTCTTTCTGTTTCACCACAGACACCTTCTTTGGGACCATGTACACGTCAGATGACCGTGGTATCTTATTCTCCAAATCACTGGAGCGTCACCTGTTCGATGGGCAGAGAAAGAGCGATTTCACAAACATAACGTCACTGCGTGGAGTCTACCTCACCAACAAACTAGACGAGGGTACGGTTTCCAGCTTGTCTGTCATGCCTTCCAACCGCCGATGAAATACTTTAGACTAAACTATGTGTTTTGTTGCAGATGGCCGCATAAGATCCGTAATCTCCTTCAACAGAGGAGGGACATGGAGACAACTCAACAAACCTAAAAATGTGGACTGTGGAGAGCAAGTAACAAAAGTGTGTTACATGTAGAAGATCACTGTCTGCACATTAACATTATATTCTACATGTTAGTCAAAATAAAATATTATGTGTGTGTGTTTTCATCAGTGCAACCTTCATATCCATGGAGAGCACAGTCGCAACAACCGCATCGTTCCCATGCTGGCCCTGTCTGAGCCAACTGCTATTGGTCTGGTTATCGCCCATGGTAATTAAACACATATGTACCCATGTGTATTTTCAATGCAAGAACAAATAATGTCAAACTTTAGCTATATCGGGTACCCTTTTGCAACTCTAAACATCTCTGAGCCGTTTTCTGATTCACTTATATTGCCATAAATGTGTTTAAGTTGTAATCCCTTGTCTTAAATCTAATGTAAAGATGATCTCCTCTCTTCTCCAGGTACTGTGGGTGACTCTCTGTCTTCGTCACAGCACCCAGATGTGTTTGTCTCCTCAGACGGGGGTTATAACTGGAGGGGGACGCTGAGGGGTCCCCACCACTACAGCATATTGGACTCTGGGGCTCTCATTGTGGCTGTGGAGGCCCAGCGCGAAGGACAAGTCAAGACCATCAAGTACTGAGCAGAAGTTTTTTGTATTATTTGGCAACTAAGGGCAGAGTTTTCCTATATTTAAAGCATCTTTGCACCTAAATTGCTGCAAATGATACCATACTTCTGCTACCATTTCTCGCCACCAGGTTCTCCACAGATGAGGGCCAATGCTGGAAGTCCTATAACTTCACAGATCAGCCCTTCTTCTTCGCAGGCTTGGCATCCGAGCCAGGCACCAAGGCCATGAACGTCAGCGTGTGGGGCTTTCGGCCTGAGGAGGACGGCCAGCCCATGTGGGTGACCGTCACCATTGATTTCCAGAGCCTCATTACGAGAGAGTGTGAGTCAAAACTATCATCTATTTGTCCCCGGGCTCACCACGCCTTTGGGTGGCATGTTACCACCTGGTGCATCAAGTTGTTTTCAGTGAGTTGCCGCCTTACAGCAGTTTCCTATTACAGAAACTTGGCGCCTCATGACCTGGGACTTTCCATAATTTCTAAGAATCTATGATCAGACTTTTGTTCCTCTTTTTTCATCATTCAACTGCATTTTACAAACCTGCATGCTTACAAACATAAGACAGTAGGCCAAGAAGGTGTCCAGTGCATCAAATAATTCTATATTTTGCTGTTTATTCTTCTGCTTGTGTTGTGGTCCTCGGTTTTTTGTAATTTGTAATTTTTTTTAATGGCCTTGAGTTATGGTATCCTACAATTTAGTTGGAACTGTTTTGGTCATCTCATATATGAGATTTCATTTTATATTTTATTCTTTAGGCTCTTTTCACAAGGGACTAGAGAAACCAGAATTTAGCAACATTGGAATCAGAATTTGATGACAGTTCGTGGGTTAGCTGAGTTTTTGACTCTTAAATTCTTATTAAATAGTAGTTTTTTTAACTTTATTTGTTGCTTTTTAGTCATAAATATTTAATGTTATATAGCAATACATAAGATTTGAAGCCAGTATTTGAGGGGCTTTACTATTTTTTTCAGCTCAGTTTTGTTGTGTGGACACAACAGGGGTTGTCATTACAGATTTCTAAGTAAAAGTTTTTTATTTTGTATTTGTAGTATTAATCTAGATGTGACATTTGACCAATTTGAATGACAGCACAGATAGCAATAACTGAAATGGATTTGGTGTTATCATCATCACTTGAGCAGGGATGACATTTATCTCTGGCTAGCGTTAGTGGACACTGACTACACATTGTGTTCCATTTTGGTATCATCTTGTAAAGAAAAATGTGCATTATACACACTACATGTTGTTTCCCGGTTTCATTCTGATCTCATCATCTAATTCATCAGGTAATGCCAACGACTATGAAGAGTGGTTGGCTCATTCTACAGATGAATCAGACACGGAGAGAGACGGCTGCGTCTTGGGTGTCAAAGAGACATACAGGAGGCTGAAGAAACAATCTGTGTGCAGAAATGGGCGAGGCTTTGTGGTGAGCAAGAGGCAAAGCCCATGCCTGTGCACCAGAGAAGATTACCTATGGTACATCAGTTTGTTTGTGGCATGTTCTATGGACGTAGACATGTAGATATATTACGCCATATTCAAATCCCAAAAAACTAAAACAGTTTCATCAGAATTTAAACATGTTTTGGCTCCAACAACCGAGAGAATATTAACTTGTGAAGCTGTAACTCTAACCTGTCCTTTTCAACAGCGACTACGGTTACTATCGTCATGTGAACACCTCAGACTGTGTGAGACAATCCAGCTCTGCAAACAAAACCTTGGAACTCTGTCTGAATGGAGAGGAGGATGAGCTTCTGACAGCTGGGTAATATTACTCACTCCTTTTTTTTTTTTAAATGAAAAGACACACCTCCCGTAGGTATTTACTCACACACTTCTATGTTTGCAGGTACCGTAAGGTCCCGAGTGACAGGTGTGAGGGGGGATTCAGTCCACAGCTGGCAGTGCAGACGGTCATCAGACCCTGTGGTGTTAAAACCAGCCCCGGCCCACCTGCCAGGTCCTCGTCTCCAGTCACACACTTTGACACACCGGTCAGTAGATTTGTTGCCCTAATCAGTCAGTACCTTCAAATGTTCATGTTCAGCTTTTAGGAAAATAACAACTACTTCATGTATTTCCCAGCGAGAGAGGCTGGTGCTGATCCTGGTGTGCGCAGGAGCAGGAGTCATCGTCCTGGTGGCCATTGTTTCCTCCGTCTTTGCTGTCAAGAGGGTGGTGTACAGAAACAGGTAGGCCAGACACACATCTGTGCTGCATGCATACCTTCATGCACCCAATATTAGCTAACCACTGTGGTTCCATGTCGCCCTCTACAGGACACCCGTGTACCGTTTCTCCAACCTCCAGATTCAGGATGATGATAATGGCATCACTGCCGACCTCGAAAGCGCCACCAGCAGCAATGGAGCAGCCTGCCAGCAAGACTCAGATGATGTAAGAGTTATTTAGCACTGTTTTAGTTTTTGTTTTTTGCCTATAAAATCTTTAAGGTGTGATTTTTTTTTTCCATGTACACTGACACCCTTTTCTCTTTGTTTTTTTTGGACAGGAGCTTATTGAATGACACAGTCTATGCACATGACACATTAATGGATGTAATAAATAATGGATTGAAAGCAGCTGTGCTGAAAAAGACTGCCAACCACATTTTGCTGGACTTATCCCTGATGTTTTGACGGGAGCACTCTTCGTGGCAGGCTCTAAAGATTTTTAATGACAAGCATGAAAGTATCTTAATTTATTGAGCTCACTTCATTTCATTGCTTTATTTTAATTACTCTTTGATTTGTACAGTATTTTTTTTTATTTTGATTGTACTCTGTGTTGCACCGCCTTTTTACTTTCTGTTTAATGTGAAAACAAACAAGACAATCCTGAAATGTGCATCTGTAAAAAGAAAATACATCTTGTTATTATGTGCTCTTTAATACTGTGTATGTTGAAGATTAAATAATATGCCATGATCCGGTTAAATGCACAATAAACCTTCCCAAGCTGTTGTCCCTCAGTGGACACTGTGGCGCTGTAAGGACTCCCATCACTTTCAAAGTAAACAGAGAAGAAGAAATAGGAGGAAGTGTGACGGAAACAAAGATAGACTATTAACAGGATGTCTTACTCGTGCTGCTGCTGCTATTCTGCATAGAAGTAGGTGTCGAAATACTTTTAACGGGCTTTTGCACGTAAAGGGATCATTTGTTTAAGAACCAAATATTATTTCCCATATTCTAAATGCAAAGAAATTCACTTTTACATTCTAGATATATATATCATCCCATTGAATATGTATTAGACTATTTTTTTTATAGTTATATATTTTATAATTATTTATAGTTGGCTTCATTCGGAAAGCATAAATGAGAATTTTACATTTAGAAATCTAAAATATGGGATTATTGTGGAGGTAAAAAAAGAAATGTAATTTCTTGTTAATAATTGTATTGGTGATGTATTTCATACACAGATGGAAAAAAACAGGAAGTGTTTTCTCTATTTTATTTTTTTCCTTTATAATAATTTTATTAATGAGCTGGTCTTTATGAACTTGATATGTCATGATTTTTAAAAATATATATATCACGTTATATATATGTATATATATATATAAAATGTGCTTGGCCGAAAATAAATATGTGTTTTCTTTTTCATAAAAAGCGCCTTCGTCTTGATCTTTGATTTCTCGGACAGAGTGGCGCCTCTTACCATCCTCTTCCTCTATTGACGATCTCAGCTGTCAGTACACGAATCACTACTGATCATTTTGGGTTATCGCGAAGCTCACCGGGGTTCGCGGTTCCCGTGGCAATTGAACAGGTAAGCAAGGTGTGAACACTCAACCCAAAGGGTAACGTCAGGTCTTCTTTAACGTTACCTGCATTTTCTTACCACCGTTGAGTTATTTCGGCGCCAGAAAACGAGGAAGTTACCCAGCAGACGCATTTCTCGTAGCGTCAGATCTAACGACAAATGCTACAGTTGAAGCTAAGTTAGTTAGCCTATGAAGACCTCGCAGCCCAGCTTTGTACAGTGTCGGGCAGTCAACTAACGCTGTGTAAGTACCTTGTAATAAACTCAGCGTGCTAAAGTGGCGTTCAAACACCCGACTAACTTCCTGTGGTATTAACTGTGTGTCTGTACTATTAGCAGCCATCGTCAGCTGAAGTTTAAGGTCGCTCTATATTAGCTGTTATTGACCACACAGCTGAATAATTCAAACTGAGCTCTGAGTGTTTGTTTTATCCCCAGCAGGTTGTTCCCTGTGGAAAACGTGGCTGGAGGCTCACTATGATGGTCAGGGCTGGCGGTAAGTGCATTGCCCTTTAAGCTATACACTATATAAGCTTATGCACACATGTATGTATATTGTATATCTGCTTTACCTCTTTTTTCAGGTATTTTGAAGTTGGCAGCAATCATCATTGCATTCCTCTTAGCTGTTTTTCTGGCTTTTCAACTGCTAGACATTAACATGGATTTTAAGCTGGGTAGGTAACAATTTACTATTACAAACTAACCCCCCTTTTCTCCCCAGCCCCAGATATTTTGTCCCTGAGCTGCTGTACAATAATGTGGCAAATGATCATTTATAAAGGGACAATGACACATTTATTCTAGGTATTGTCAGGCGGATGTGTTGTAATTCTAGTGCGTCTTGTGGCCTGGAGCTTGTGTTCACGTTACAGAAACCAAATATTGTTACTCATTGTTATGTTTTGGTCCAGACAAGGGGGTTTTTCCCCACAGAGCTGCTTTTTAATGACCGCCATCTAGGTGACCACTAAAAGTCTCCTCCATTCTTTCTCGCTTTTCAGCAAGATCTCTGCCAACGAATGAAGGCTGTAAGTATGCTTAAATTATTATCATTTCATCTTTTTGCCTTGTTGTCTCAGTGACCGATATGTTTTTAATCTTTTTTTTTTTTTTGCCTTTTTTTTATCTCTCTATACCAGTTGCCACTCGAATGGTAACAATAAGCATGTGTCACACACAAAGTGCTGTGGTTAGGACTTACAGTCTGCATCTAGATTTTAGAGAAGCACTACACGGTTTTACAGTCAGTAGCGCTTAGTTTTTTTTGTACCTGTTTGCATACAGACTAATGTGGGTGGACCGCTTGTTACCTGATATTGCTACCTGTCAACTGGTGTGTGAATGGAGTTTTCTATTTACAGCAACGAAGCCAGTTAGGTACAAGTGTGGGCTGTCCAAGTCATGTCCTGTTGGACACTTTGCCTTCAAGATGGCGAGTGGAGCCGCGAGTGTTGTGGGGCCCAGAATTTGCCTGGAGGACAAATTGTAAGTGAAGTGACATGTTGAAACTTTTGGAACATGAAGTATTACTCTTTGTTTTTGGTTACAAGGCTGTGAATTTGATTTTACAACACAAACATGTTGTTTAAACATAGCGTGCCTACCCAGTCATTCGGAGCGTGTTATTATTTGCTTTTCGTCAGAAGAACACCTCAGATGGTGCTCGGTTTCAAGTTAATTCTATTTATATAGATATAGAATGACTCACTACGAACAATATATCTGTTTTATGTGATTATAAATTGAACATCTGGGGATTGGACCTTGGTCTGACAAAACAAGACATTTTATAGATGAACTGATTAATTCCTTAAAAACAAAACAAGATTATCACCAACAACAACAACAGAAACAGCAAACACTCAATACTCAATAAATGACTTTATAATAACAATACTCATTAGTTGCAGTCAAACTGTATCTCCTGGCTGGCTGTCATAATGTTTGATGAAGGTGGCAAAATGATGGCATATAGACAAGTCCAGGAACTGCTAACACACTATAAAGTGGTTGTATGCAGCTATAGGGAAATTGTAAAGTCTTTATTAATCTATAACATTTGTCAACAATTATAACTTCTGTGTAGACATATTTTATATTAAAACTCTTGTGCTTTACCATATTGTCATTCATTATCTGTTTCTACAGCAGCCTCTACTTATAGCTGCCAGCAGGAGGAGTTAATAGTTGTTAACAAATACATTAATAAACTCTTATATCTGCTTACAACTACCTTTTTATAGTTGGTTGTATTGTGCTAAAAATAAGCTAAAAACAGCTAAAGCTAAAACATTACAGTACATGTGAAATCCAGTCCGATCCTAATTGTCTCCTTTTTCTTTGTTTTAGACTAATGAGCAGTGTGAAGAACAACGTGGGGAGAGGAATCAACATTGCTTTGGTTAACGGTAACGTTACTTCCACATCGATTTGCTCAGTACTGCTGATGGTGACATGATACTGCAGCAGCGTTACACTAGTAGTGCTACGATGAATAGAGCCATTATAACTAGGAAACCACAAGTTTTTGCATAGCAGAATACTTTTGTACTAGTATCACATTTTGTATTGCCTGTTTATAAGGTCAGTTCATATCAATCATTGACTACCCAGAACCACTACTAAGATGCATTAATTATTATTCTCGTGAACTATTATGGTAATAAAAGCTATACATCTCCTCTGTTTTACATATAGTCAACATTAGATTTAAATTGATCTAAACTGGAATCTTTCTCCCCCCACAGGGAGAACAGGAGAACTTATGAAGACAGACTTTTTTGATATGTGGGCAGGAGGTGAGTAGGATTTCAGAACCTTTTTGTTGTGGACATTCGGACATTGCATTAACCCATGTGTTACCTTGTGCAGATGTGGCTCCCTTTATTAAATTCTTGAAGGAAATTGACGAAGGGACAGTCGTGATGATGGCATCGTTTGATGATCCCGCGACAAAGTAAGGACTTTTTCCCTCAATATCCCCTCGCCCGCTGATATAATTTAGATTGACACGATTAATGTAAATTGCTTTAGTTATCTCTAATATTGGTTGTGTCGCTGCACGTGTGGCCATGAAATAATATCTCTCTTCTGTGGTCTACAGACTCAATGATGAAGCCAGGAAGCTTATTGCTGATCTGGGCAGCTCAGCTATCAGTAATGTGGGCTTCCGGGATAACTGGGTCTTTGTAGGAGGGAAAGGCATCAAGACCAAGAGTCCATTTGAGCAGGTAACAAAAATCTTTACATTTGAGAAATTTGATTCCAAAATTAGCCTATTTTATGTAATTAGAGCTCTGCAGCTTAAATGTCGTGTTTTTCACGCAAATTTGCATCTAACCTTTTGGGGAGTTTGAACTGAATGAATGAACTGTTGAGCTTCCAGTTAAAAGACATGCCTATTGTGCTCGGGTCTTTGGGGGCATTCAGACAGAAAACAGCCCGGTGTTGAAACATGGCAGGGTTGCAGTGTTTGTGTTAAAGGCAAGGGTTATCTCAGCCTTTTAGTTTAGTGTGAAAGTGTTCACTAGTAAAAGTTTGAGGTGAAACTTCAGGTTGAGCCAGTTTTGGGAGAATGCTTTTTTTTTTCTTTTTACATTCAGATTTTAAAGTAAATTCTTCTGACAGAAATGTAATTACTGTACACGAGGACACACAGGCCTCATATAACTAGTGTAATCTTCAAGATATAAAAAGTGTGACTCACAAGTGTTGGGTGGTTCACTGTATGTGGTTATCAGAACGTTTGACAGCCCAACCCTGTTCACGTTGTTGGGCTGTATAATGCATTCTTTCATTCCCCCATCCGTCAGTTCACAAGAATGTAGCACCCTGCCACTTACACTTATCTGACCAGAACACTGTGATCATTGGATTATAAAGCCAACGTGGGCTGTTTTCATAGTTTGTTGTTTGTTGTATTTCCCTCCTCAGCATATAAAGAACAACGCAGACACCAACAAGTTCGAGGGATGGCCCGAAGTGTTGGAGATCGAAGGCTGCGTGCCTCAGCGACAGGACTGATCTGAGCTCTCGCCGTGATCGTCAAACACATTTCCCGACCGCACGTCCTCGTTGTCCTCCTGACATTCCTGTCCTCATGAGACTTTTTAGCCGTTTACGCTTCTTCTCTGGACTAAAAAAAGGTCATTTTACATCTCTCACCCCCAAACCTTTTATTCAGATTTCCCTCCCAGAACAGCTCTCTCTACAGAAGAT